GGTTTGCCCTGTTTCTTACGTTGGCGGGAGGCTCAGTCATTCGGTACTTTGTTTCATATATTAAAGCATGTTTGGGTAAAACTCCCATCGCGTACATCTTGCCTTCTCTGATCACACAGGAGGGGGGGTGATGCCAAGTAGCTTGATGGCGAGCTGAGATCACGATGATGTGATTTGTTAACATGTGCCATGTGCGATAGGACTGACTTAGGTAGAAACTTTGTATTGTGGTTGCGCGAGCTCTCTTCTGTGCGTTGCGAAGCGAGTTTGACGAAAATAAATTAAACTGAGCAATTTTGGTTCCATCTGCAATGTTTTTAAAGCCCTCTGATAGAGGTGAAATGCTCTTGATTACTTGTTGGCTACTTGGGGTGACTGTCTATACGGTATGCCTAAATGTAGCCCCTGCTAAAATATGATGCTATGATGCTACGTTGTATAGGTTTTAGTTGTTGATGTTTCATCGTGTGTAACCTACTTGCCCTGCCAGGTCAGCCCTTGAAAAATAGATCAGGAGTGATCTGCAATGGACCGACAGTCATAAATGGCGTTTGAAATAAAATGATGGGCTTAGCAACATTGCTCTAGCACCTATATTGCGAAAACATTTTAAAAGCCACAACAATCATCATTTGTTTTATTGGATTGCCATTACTTAAAGGAGTTAAATATTCAATGTATAGCCCAAGCTAGCAGGAGAGGTAGACCATAGAAGAACAAACTTGTTATTTTCACCGCAAGGCCCCCCCCCTGCGCCAATCCTCACGATGGAGCCAAAGAAGCAAAATCTTTCGGGATCATGGAATGCCAGATCAAGGCTGAGTGTGGCTTCAATATTTTATGTTTAAATCGTTCGATACCATGACTGCCAGAAGACCCATTTCAATCTGACATAGTTTACAAAGAAAACAGTTTGCCTAAAATACTTAGAAGCCCCGAACTATGCCGCTAAGAGTTAGCTTGTTGTTTAAAGCCATTGCCTGCCTGCTCATGTGAACATGCCCAGTCAAGAATTCAGTGATTGTTGCCCCCTGAAGAACTTGAAGTAAATACGAAAGCCCAGATCTGTTGCCTGGGCCCAGTTTTTGAAGAAAGATTTCAGCCTTGGTTAATTAATTAGAGGCGTCTTAGTTCAGGCTAGGTGACAGTATATAACTTATTTATCATTGATTTAGTATTGTGTTATAATCCTATCTGTTAATTCTTGACAGTACTTGTTATTTTCTCCCCCTCCTCCCCCCCGCCTAACAAGTTTTTGGTTTCAAGGGAGAATTTTGGCGTTTTGCTCAGTGTCCTTTCGTTATTCTTTTATCTAATACCCCTTGGTTTCACTTGGTCTTGGCCAAGCCACTGATATTTTTCCTTGGTTGTCATTGCCTAGCAGATCAGTTTGTTTGAGTTAAGGCGCTGCTTATAGTTGGATGTCACTATTGTATTTGAGGTAGTTTTTCTGCGTCAGTTTTTCTGGCTGACCTCTTTTATAGGCTTGTTATTAGAGATTCTTGGTTTATTAATGTTTCTTTTAAGTTTTTTGGGTAATAAAAAACCCGAGCTTTATTTAAACAACTCTGTGTTTCCTGTTGCCTAGCTTGCTTGCTTAAAAATAAACCCTTTTTTGTGCCAAAAGAAAACTTGCCTTGAACATTTTAAGTATATTTACCAGGTGATGTTGTATTGTGATTTCTACTGTTTGTTTCAAGCGATTGCAGCCCTGAAATATTTGAAAGCTTAATATTCTGATTCATTTTCTTTCTTCCTGCATTCTCAGGAACACCTTTCACAACAGCCATCACCTCTACAGTTTCGACGCAAATTGCCATAAAAATGAAACAGCACTCAGTCCCCTCAACAAAAATCAACGCTTAGAGCTTTAGACTGCAGCGGTAATGTATCTTTGATTCACATTATACTGGCAGCATACCCCCTTTTCATACTGTATTGCTAAAACCATGAAATAATGTTTTTATTATTGTTTTGGAGAAGAAACTCTTATACTGCCTCTCTTTAGCTTGCCACTTTTATATAGTGTTCAGAGTATAAGCATGTCAGTATAGATGTGGGAGTGCCATGGAATATGTTTTTGGTGAAGACGTATTAAATGGCAAGGCCTAAAGTAACTCTGAGATCCCTTTGGGCCTTTCAGATATTTTGACATACTATTCCGTCTTATGGGGGCGCGCCGAAAATTTGGGGGGAAAGGAACAAAACGGCCCACTAACGATATTGATAACAAAAACAATTTTACCGCGTTACCGCGGCCACTGTCTTTCGTTGCCTAATACACCGCCACCCCTTCGGCGGCCCGCCAAGTGCCAGGAGGACCTCGGCAAAACAGATCCTGCGCCCACGGTATAAAATTTAAAAAAGTACCCAACACGCCTGTTGCTATAGTGTTTTGAGCTTGACGGCCCGCTCATTCTGCCAGGGCCTCGATGGTTTCAAAACAGAGAATGGGCGGAATATTTCATGTGAAAAAATATGCATCTTCTGCCTATGCATGTAGACATTTTCTGTCTTAAAAGGGGTGATTTTTGTAAAATATCCATAAAGAAAAACTTAAATCTGTTTACAGTGTCTGTTTCATATGGGCCGGTTGAGATGCTATTCCATAGATCTTTCTTCATTTTGCCCCTCTCAAAGCTGCCACCAGATTGATGCTTTTAACTTAAAGAATGTTAAAAAATAATCTTCTCCGCGGGGAGCGATGGTTAGGTCACTCCCCACTTATAAAACAGCACTTTACCACTGCCCACCCTCTCTAATCTCAGCCCTGAGTCATCTTTGCTTCTGGAACCGGCCTTGGGGCGATATTCATATATCATACTTTGATGTTGCAAACTTTCTTTAAACACATTGGTGCACATTGCTAGCATAAACCACAAATATCAACAAAAGGAGGCAAAGTCAAAACAAGGTTCATTCTATACGGAGCCCCTAGCGGCGACATTGGAGAAAGAAAAAAACAAACTTGAAGAAAAAGTAACTTACTGCCGAATATTCTCGC